GGTTATTTCAAGAGAAAACCCTTCTCTTGAAATAACCCATATTCCTCATACAATGAGGTTTAACGGTTATTTCACAAGTAGTATTTTCTTTCGAAATAACCGCATCTACACAGCATTTTATTTCAAAATAATGCTATTTTGAAATAGTGCCATAACACGATTATGCAAATGAAGTGTGGGGTATTTAAATCCTGGCTTCATTTACAATTTCGAATGTCTTCATTTATCCCTCTACCGAAAGAGGGTGCAAGTGTAGACACACACTAAGTGACTGGGCAAAATGACAAATAAAATTTAATGCTGATAAATGTAAAGTAATGCACATTGGAAAAAATAATCCCAACTATATATATACACAATATGATGGGGACTAACTTGGCTACAACTACTCAAGAGAGATCTTGGAGTCATTGTTGATAGTTCTCTGAAAACATCCACTCAGTGTGCAACAGCAGTCAAAAAAGAAAATAGAATGTTAAGAGTCATTAAAAAAGGGATAGAGAATAAGACAGAAAATACCTTATTGCAGAGTTTCCCAAACTATGGGCCGTGGCCCAGTACCAGGCCGCAGGAAAAAAGTATTGGGTCTCAGTGTGATTGCTGGGGTGTTCCGGGCTCCCGGAGTGCCCGTGTGGCGCCGGGTCCCCCAAGCCCTTGGCTGGCCTGGGAGGAGTCTGCAGCTGGATCTTCCAGCTCCCAGCAGATGCGTAGCTAGGAGAGGTTGGGGTGTGGGGGAGGGGGAAGGAGAAGGAAGAGGGGAGAGCCGGCCAACAGAAGCAGCACTGGACATGGGAATCGGGGTGGGCCAGGGAGAGTGGCGGAGGGGCAGCCGGCAGATGCAGAGCTGGGCAGGGGGCTGGCTGGCAGAGATTGGGAGTAGGAGTAGGGGAGAAGCGGCCACTGGAAGCAGGGCTTGCCTGGGACATAGGGACTGTCCATGAGAGACTGGGGGGCTGGCAGAAGCAGGGCTGCCGGGGGGCGCGAGGTTGGGGGTAGGGAGCTGGCCGGGGAAGATGGAGGCGGG